AGAGAGAGAGAGAGAGAGTTATCCGTGCATGGTTTCGGCCGTTTCATTGTGGCCGTGGTTAAATTAGACGTCTTCGAAAAACTATTGTACAACCGTGGTGATTTATCGAAGCCCCGAGCTACGATTAATTGCGCGTTGCAAGAGAGAACGCGAAAAACATCGTGTGGTCGATCGGTTATAATGTTACGGTTGGTAAAGTGATTGGAAGGAATCTGTCCGGTGATTTAATAAAGAGTAATTGTCGTTCTGAAGTTTCAATTCGTCCGTATACTTAAGAATTTCAATTTTAATAATTGCGTGGAACGCGAAGCAAGGCGGGAGAAAAATTGATAAAAAAGCCTTTGATAATTCGAGATTGCAAGATTTATATCCATAATATCGTAGAAGAATCTAATAAATATCGAAAGAAATTTTCTGTATGCTTACGATGGAAGAGGTAAGCTAGTTCTCGATTAATAAATTCGCTTAATCATCGAAACTATAAATTTCGTTCTGATAAATTAAATTCTGTTTGAAAATATTATACATTCGATCTTTCCGTAATTACAATATGATCAATAGAAGCAATCATTCGGGATCTCTATTCGCTCCCCCCTTTTCTTCGTATTCTAATTTTCAAAATGCATTGAGTCGTCACGCGATGGAGCACGCGAATCGGCCGAACCGATCCGCGATGAGCGTCGATGATTTCTTCCTTGCAATTTTCTGATCCCCCCCTTCCTCCACGAGATCGTTATCGGCTCCGATCTTCTGCACACGTTCGAGGTTCGGCTCGATCGGGAAACAATTGGCCGACTGGGACGCGACCTGTCCACGCGCGAATTCGGTCGAAAGTTTGCCGGTTGACGGGGCGCGAAAATAATTGACTGGTCGGCTCGGTCGGTAAGCGAATGCCTCGATGGCCATTAGTTTCTCGGTCGATCGGCCGTGATTTACGCTATCGTTAACGCCGCGTTTAAGGAGCTGCGACACCTTCGCCGAGAGATGTTTTGACGGTGTTTATCCGTGGTACCAGGACCGATTTAAGAAACGCGTAATTAAAAAGCGCGCCATTTAACGCCATCTTTCTCCCCTCACCTCCTTAATGATTTAAATCTTTTTTGAGGAGAGGGACGAGAGTGTCAATTTTCGTACGACGTTAATTCGTAATTTACCTCATCGAGTGGGCAAACGAAAATTTCGTGGCGATGTTTGCTGATCGTATCGGGTACGGGATGGATGATGAGAGAGGGATATAGCGAGGTAAAAATTAAGAAGGAAC